CGAGAAAATCAAAAAGAGATGCTTGCTCTCAGACCCTCTATGGAACTCCGGAATCTCCGCACCACCTTGGAGGTGACTACGTCAGAATTCCACCTGCCTGTCATCCCTTCACCTGACCCAGAAGCAGCGCTTCTGTCCCATGGACAGACTTACTGCTGCATTTACCGTGCTGTATTTTTTTCTATGCCCACCTCCCCTCTCAGAGAGATAAGTGAGCATCTACTTCATTTTGGGGTGACACAGTAATGACTTATGGTGATGCTGGGTCCGAGGTTGGATGGTGATGTGAGCAGAATGGGCAGCAGAGCCCCAAGGGGCTGGAGGCTGCTAGGCCTCCAAGCATCCACACCTTCCCAGAGCAGCTGGCCAGGTGGCTGCCGTTCTCCCTTTCAGAATCCTCTGGGCTGAGGAATGAGCCATGAAGGACAAGATTGAATGCTCCAGACACAAACTTGGCTTAGGCACAACTTTCCAAGGCCAACCGAAAAGCCAAAGGAAATGGGTGAAAGGTGTGTGTCTCTCTCATCCTACCTACTACTTACTCAACCTACCTTGTATCCCAGAAAGGTATATGATGAGAACAGAACTGGGAGAATCCTCACTAACTTTTCTGCTGAACCTAGAGAGAGGGACACTGTTGCCAATCCTTTTTCCTCTGCAATTAAGAAACAGTGGGAACAGTAGCTAGAAAACAGAGAAACAGGTGAAGCTGGGACAAAAACAGTGGGCTCACCTGGAGAAACTCAGGGCTCCAAAGCCACATACTGAATGGGGGAAACTGTCCAACTGCAGTGGGTGTTCCTCTCCATCTAACAGACACCGAATTCACCTCCCCAGTAAGTGGGCTGTACCAGGCCACAGGGTGTCACCCAAATCCCAGACTAGAGGACAACTCCATCTCCCCTACCTCATCCCACGTTCACTGTCACTCAGGCCACAGGAAACAGGTCAGAAACACCAGCCCCCAGCACAATTGTTGCTGGGGTCAGGGACAAATCATCCTCAGTGTTGGGGGAGGAAAGTCACTGTCTTACTGTAGAGCCAGCAGAGCCGAAGACCATGAGCACAAACACTACGAAGAGAAACAGCAGACAAACTGTGCAAAAGACACGGATGTCAGTGGGAAGTAAGCCACGCCCACCAAGAAAGCAATTCCTCGCTGCCCACTGTGCAGGAACTCAGGACATGACTGCAAGTAAACCAGGGCTCAAGGGGAGATGACAGAACAAAATGTATTGAAAGGAGATGCAGGCTTACTGAAAAAAGAAAAAAATATCACTGAAGAACTAATAAATAAATTATACTCAACAAAGAACAAAATTCTGCCAGTCATTTAAAACAGAAATACTGACAAAAGTGGGTTGAGTGACTACAAGTGGAAAAGACTAATTAAAGCATATATAAAGACAAAGATAGCAACTGTGGATAAAATCAAAGTTCCTGTGGCCAGGATTCTCACATGGCCCTGGCTGACTAGCTCACTGCACACCTGTGGGCATACATGGCTGTTGACTGTATATAAAAAGCTCCGCCCAGTGCTCTGGGCACGACATGGTGGCAGGGCTGCAAGGCTGCAGGAGAGCAGAGCAGAGGCTGGAGTGGTGGCAGCGCTGAGGACAGAGG